AAAAGAGAGCTAGCCAGTAAAGCCTAAGTCAACGACCAAACAATTATAGATATATATTAAGTCTCTGAGTTGTTATTTCATAGTGGCTGTGGGGACCTGTTGGGCAGAGAGAAACTGGTCCAGTGGGACCAAGATAGACAGAGAAATTCTCCCCCCTAAACACTGGTGATCTGTGTTTGGGATACTGGGTTTTTCATACACTGAGGGAGATGTGTAAAGAGTTTGGTGATGTGACTTCACTGATATCAAGTGGAAGTCCTGGCGGAGGATCTGGATAAAAACTATTGTTATCTTTGTAGCTTACACTACTTGCCTAGTGGTCATATAGTAAAGATTCTATAATACAAAATTTTGCTTAGAACAGGGGCTCACGAGGCCCCACCCGACCCTGAAGAGGTATAGTAGTTCCTGGAGGAAGGAGAGATGTTTTCTCCAGTGGTGTAACCCCTGGTAAGATGTCCAGGCCTCTGAAAATAACCCCTCATCCATGATCCCATAAACCACCTTAATAAAACTCACTGGGTCACAGACCCATGCACACCAACACACAGACATGATAGTAGAGGCACTACATTAGTTGAGAAAGAAGGTAAGAACCAGCAGGAGTGGGAGGGGAAAGAGAGGGTAATGGAAGATGAATATGACCAAAGAACATTTCATGCATAAATCAGTGTCATAATGAATGTATTAGATTGTGTAATTAAATATATTTTATTAAATGTAACTAAAATATGCAAATAAAAACTTGAAAGTGTATTTCTACTTCTCTCTTGGTTAGCACCAAAAGGATCTAGAAAATATTTTTTGTTTGAATTGACTTGTGTTATTGATGGACAAGGATGGGTCCATTGTTTTAAATGTTCTGTCCCCCAAAATCAGGCTGTGGCCCCTGCAATTCTCTTCCTCTCCTGTAGATTGAGAGCTAAGAAGCCATGCTGTGGTTTCCTAGCCCTTCTTGAAGCTGCTAGAGAAATTTACAGTCTTATTCACTACCAGGCTCCGTGCATACTAAACCAGATTAAATCACATGATAAGAGGCTTTCTGCCAGTCTCTTCAAACTCACAAAAGTCAAATATTCCCTTTGGGAGATTTCCTCAGAAGGCCCTCCCTTTACTGGTCCTTCCATCACGTTGTTCATGGTAGCAATGTCTCTTCATCCTTTATTTAAGCTGTCTTTCTCTCTCTGTGTGTGTGTGTGTGTGTGTGTGTGTGTGTGTGTGTGTGTGTGTGTGTGTGTGTAATGCATTTTTTATTTAAATTGGAAACAAACTTCTTTTGCATGTCAATCCCAGTTCCCTCTCCCTCCCCTCCTCCCCTGCCTCCCACTGACCCCCCTATCCCATTCCCTTTCTGCTCCCCAGGGAGGGTGAGGCCTTCCGTGGGGGATCTTCAAAGTCTGTCATAACATTTGCAGCAGGGCCTAGACCCTCCCCAGTGTGTCTAGGCTGAGAGAGTATCCCTCTATGAGGAGAGGGCTCCCAAAGTCCATTCTTATACTAGGGATAAACACTGATCCACTACCAGAGGCCCCATAGACTGCCCAGGCCTCCTTACTGATACCCACGTTCAGGGGGTCTGGAACAGTCCTATGCTGGTTTCCCAGCTCTCAGTCTTGGCTCCATGAACTCCCTCTTATTCAGGTCAGCTGTTTCTGTGGGTTTCTCCAGCCTGCTCTTGACCCCTTTGCTCATCACTCATTCCTCTCTGCAACTGGATTCTAGAGTTCAGCTCAGTGTTTAGCTTTGGGTGTCTGTGTCTGCTTCCATCAGCTACTGGATAAAAGCTCTAGGATGGTAGATAAGGTAGTCATCAATCTCAATATCAGAGAAGGGCTTTTAAGGTAGCCTCTCGACTATTGCTTAGATTGTTAGTTGGGTTCAACCATGTAGATCTCTGGGCATTTCCCTAGTGCCAGAATTCTCTTTAAACCTATAATGGTTCCCTCTATGATGGTATCCCTTTTCTTGCTCTCCTCCATTCCTCCCCTGACTAGATCTTCCTGCTCCCTCTGTCCTCTTCTCTCCCGTTCTCCCCTTCTCTTTCTTCTAACTGCCTCTCCCCTCTCCCCATGATCCCCATTAGCTTAGGAGATCTTGTCCCTTTCCCCTTCCCTGGGGGACCATGTGTGTCTCTCTTAGGGTCCTCCTTCATTCCTAGCTTCTCTGTTGGTGTGGATTGTAGGCTGCTACTTCTTTGCTTTAGATCTAAAATCCAACGCAATTCCTCTAAAATCAGGGACAAGGCTGTCCACTCTCTCCATACCTCTTCAATATTGTCCTTGAAGTTCTAGCTAGAGCAATAAGACAAAAGGAGATCAAGGGGATACAAATTGGAAAGAAAGAAGTCAAACCTTTACTATTTGCAGTCTACATAAGTGACCTGAAAAACTCTACCAGGGAATTCTTATAGCTGATAAACACCTTCAGCAAAGTGGCAGGATATAAGATTAACTATAGTTAATACAGATGATAAACATGCTGAGAAAGAAATCAGAGAAACGTCACTCTTTACAATTGCCACAAACAACATAAAATACCTTGGAGTAACTCTAATCAAGAAAGTGAAAGACTTGTATCATAAGAATTTTGAGTCTTTAAAGAAAGAAATTAAAGAAGATACCAGAAAATGGAAGGATCTCCCATGTTGGATAGGGAGGATCAACATAGTAAAAATGGCAATCTTGCCAAAAACAATCTACAGATTCAATGCAATCCCCATCAAAATCCCAGCACAATTCTTCACAGACCTTGAAAGAACAATTCTCAACTCTATATGGAGAAACAAAAGACCCAGGATAGCCAAAACAACTCTGGACAATAAAGGAACCTCTGGAGGTATCACCATCCCTGACTTGGAGCTCTATTACAGAGCTATAGTCCTGAAAACAGCTTGGTATTGGTACAAAAATAGGCAGGTAGACTAACGGAATCGAATTGAAAACCTTGATATTAACCCACACACATATTAACCCCTGAATTTTTTTATTTTCTTTTTTTTGCAGATTTTTTATTTGAATTAGAAACAAGATTGTTTTACATGACAGTCCCAGTTCCCTTCTCCCCCCTGTCCTCCCCTATCACCTCCCCCAACTAAAACCCTACATATCACATACCCTTTCTGCTCCCCCTGGGTGGTGAGGCCTTCCATAGGGTGTTACCAGAGTCTATCATGACCTTTGGGATAGGGCCTAGGCCCACCTCCATGAACACCTGATTTTTGATGAAGCTAAAATTATATAATGGAAAAAAGAAAGCCTCTTCAACAAATGGTACTGGCATAATTGGATTCTGGTGTGTAGAAGACTGCAGATAGACCCATATGTATCACCATGCACAAAACTTAAGTCCAAATGGATCAAAGATCTCAACATAAATCCAGCCACACTGAACCTCTTAGAAGAGAAGGTAGGTGGTACCCTGGAACAATTGGTACGGGAGACCACTTCCTGAACATAACACGGTAGCACAGACACTGAGATCGACAATTAATAAATGGGACCTCCTGAAACTGAGAAGCTTCTATAAGGCAAAGGACACAGCCCACAGACTGGGAAAAGATATTCACCAACCCCGAGTCTGATAGAGGGCTGATTTCCAAAATATACAAAGAACTCAAGAAGCTAGTCTCCAAAACACCAACTAATCCATTTAAAAAGTGGAGTACAGAACTAAATAGACGGTTCTCAATAGAGGAATCTAAAATGGCTGAAAGACACAAAAAAGTACTCAACATCCTTAGCCATCAGGGAAATGCAAATCAAAACAATTCATACCATCTTACACCTATCAGAATGGCAAAAAACAAAAACAAAAACAAAAAAACACCAATGACCGTTTATGCTGGAGAGGATGTAGAGAAAGGGGAACACTCCTCAATGCTGGTAGGAGTGCAAACTTGTAAGACCACTTTGGAAATCAGTATGGTGGTTCCTCGGGAAAATAGGGATCAATCTACCACGAGATCCAGCAATTCTACTCTTAGGAATATACCCAAAAGAAACACATTCATGCAACAAGGACATCTGTTCAACTGTATTCATAGCAGCATTATTTGTAATAGCCAGAAACTGGAAGCAAGCTAGATGCCCCTCTCCTGGAATGGAAGGAGAAAATGTGGTACATTTACACAATGGAGTACTACTCAGCAGAAAAAAAAAAAAAAAAAAAAAAAACACAAAAAAAAAAAAGGAATCTTGAAATTCGCAGGTAAGTGGATGGAACTAGAAGAAACCATCCTGAGTGAGGTAACCCAGTCGCAATAAGTTGTCTTTCTTAATAAAACTCATCCCTGTGTTTTAAAGAGAAGTCTCCCTATACCTCCATGCCCACCACGGACCCAATATGCTGTTTCTAGTGTGATGTATGCTTCTTCATAATGCTTGCTACCTCAAGGCCCATCATGGCCCCCATGGGCCACTAGGCTCTGCCTCTTAATAAAGCTTATTCTAAAGGGTAATGTTCAGCTTCCTTTCTGTCCAATATGTTCTCCTAATTTGTTATAGCATTAGCACCTCACTTTCAGAATTTACACAAATACAAAGTATTAAATTCAGTAGGCTCAGAGGGATCAAGTCTGCTAGTTTCAATAGTGAGCTACTACCTGTTCATGTCAGAAATTACATACTGGAACCAACTGAAGTCAGTTTAATTGACGTGACTTTTGAAAGAAACCAGGCAGGTCATGTGGGAAAGGTTAAATAGCTAATAGTAGGCAAAGTGCCTGATGTTGCATAAATTAGAATAACAATGCTTTGTGGTAGACTGGTGGTTCTCAACCTTCCTAATGCTGAGACCCTTTAATACATGTTGTGGTGACTCCCCAACCATAGCATTATTTTTATTGCTATTTCATAACTGTAAGTTTGCTACCGTTATGAATTGTAGTGTAAATACCTGTGTTTTCTGATGGTCTTAGGATATCCCTGTGAAAGGGTCATTTGATACCCACAGGTTGAGAACCACCATGGTAGAGGCTAAAGTCACACAAGTGAAGACTACTGGAGAAGTGATCCGATTACATGACTAATGGAAAAAAAGGAAAATTTGGGGAATTGATAAAAATCAAAATCCAGGGCTGGTATGATGGATGGTTCAGTGGGTAAAGATGCTCACCATGCAAATCTGGCCACCTAAGTGAAATCCTTGTAACCCGGATGAAGATGGCATGAGCACGGGCTCCAGAGTGGTCTTCTGACTTCTTATGGGGAAGGCTGTGGCACGTGCACCTCTGCATCATGCACATCTGAAGAGGAGTTTGGGGTCTAAACAGATCAAGGAGAGAGTGAGGCTCCATGCTGTCCACACTGCGATTTACTTAAAAATTAGAGAAAGCAGCAAATGTAGGAAAAGTGGCACAAATAGAGGTTGAGTATCCAAAGAGAAGACAAATAAATCATTTTTGGTATTGAAAACAGAGAAGACAAAAGGATTCTATTCACAAATAAGAAAATAGAAATAACTAGGAGTAAGGATGGGGTGTGTAACTCTGCAGTGTGTAACTTACTCTGCAGTGTGTAACTTACTCTGCAGTGTGTAACTCTGCAGTGTGTAACTTACTCTGCAGTACGTAAGTAACTCTACAGCCTGTAACTAACTGTGAGCATGCAACTAACTGCAGCGTGGTGACTAACTCTGCAATATGTAACTGCAGTGTGTAACTAACTCTGCAGTGTGTGACTCTAACTGAAGTGTGTAACTAACTCTGCAGCATGTGACTAACGCTGCAATGTGTAACTAACTCTGCAGTGTGTGACTCTACAGCAGGCTCATGCTTAGCACACAAGGCTCTGGATTCAGTCCCCAGCACAAATTAGCCATCAATACACACCAGGTAGAAAATATGTTAAATACAAATCAAGGAACCATTTTAAAATGTTGAGTCAGGGTCTCACTGTGTAGTCCTGGCTGGCCTGAAACTCACTGTGTAGACCAGGCTGGCTTTGAATTCACGAAGATCTTGAGTGCCGAGATTAAAGGTGTGCACCACCACACCAGGCTTGTTGTTCATTTCTTAAAGTAACATTTCATATTTTCTCCCCTTTTTCTTTCTTTACTCTCTTTTTTTTAAGTTCAAGGACAGTTTTCTCCTAATTTAACAAAAATCCCAGGATATGCAAGCCCCATTGCACGCAGGCATATTCCTCAGAAGACGAGGTCTCCTTGCAGTACCAGAAGCAAAAAGGAGTAACAGGAGGTTATTTTCCTATACAATTGAAGCCAGCCAAGCAGATCATTGAATTTGTGTCATCGTGGTCATTTTCAGGGGAGCATGTAGAATGAGTTGATCAGGACATTGGACAGCACTGTCAGAGACATAGGAGTGTCAGCATGTGTTCAGACAAACAGACATCTTCTCCTGACATTGAAGTTACATCACAGCATAATGATATTGAAAACACTGTACTTGCAGCACTATAACTGCAGCAGCAGAAATAATTACTGACGTGGAAATTCCAGCACTTAATAAATGTCCAATAAAGTATCCCAAAACAAAGAAGCACGTGGTCAATGAATGGTTAAGTGAGAAGAATGAGAGGACAGGAAAACCTTCAGACAGCTTTCAGAAAGGCCTCTGAGCATAACTACCGATCCAGAGGTGTTAGCTACACAGCTCAATTCTTTGCCAGGTCTCACTTACAGCCCCTATGTATACTCTATTCCTAAGCATTATATTAGGATTACATCACTATTCCGTTCGGAAAAAGAGAAGAAAAGAAACTACTGAAAATATTTCTGGCTCATGCAAAGTAAGAATGAGAAGACAGGAAAACCTTCAGACAGCTTTCAGAAAGGCTTCTGCGCATAACTACAGATCCAGAGGTGTTAGCTACACAGCTCAATTCTTTGCCAGGTCTCACTTACAGCCCCTATGTATACTCTATTCCTAAGCATTATATTAGGATTACATCACTATTCCGTTCGGAAAAAGAGAAGAAAAGAAACTACTGAAAATATTTCTGGCTCATGCAAAAAGCAAAAGTGGAAACGCCAAGAGTGGCGATTTGGACAGGGATTTTTTTCAGGACCCAAAGTCTCATAATAGGAATCCCTCTGAGATCCACATCTCCTTCCCCTCCTGCATTGCAGAGCCAGATTAGTGTCATTGTCAACCTTAACCTCCCTAATTCCATGACCTCACTTGCAACTTCCCAGCATTCCCCAGGAATCGACAAGGAGAATGTTGAACTCTCCCCCACCATTGGCCACTATAATAGTGGACAAACTCGCTATGGATCCACAAGCCAGGTGCAGAAACAAAGAAGCACTGGCAGCTTCAAACATAATAGCATTAAAAAGATTGTGTGAAGCTTTCTTTCTTTTACTTTTTAAACCAACCTAACATGGGCTTCTCACTAGTAACCCTTCCCTAACCTGGCCCCATCCAACACTGTACTACTGCACTTTGTGTCTTATGAACCCATCTGGTCTGCCATGTTGTCAGACGATCAACTCTTAAAGGCAGTTGCCAACTCTAACCCATTTCTTTTCATTAATGGTTCCTTCCTGGGGGAGCATGGACAAAGATCCCCAATAAAGAGAAAGAACTTCTTTTTTGTTTCTTTTTAATCTGAGTTCCTCAAGCCTTGAGGGATTCTTTGATCCCAGAAAGATATAAATCTTCCTTGTTAATTTTCTCAATTGTTTTTTCTTAATCCAAGATCCCTGTGTCTTGAGGGATTCTGTAATCCCAGAAAGAAATGTCTTCCTTGCTAAATGCTTGTCCCATTACTAACCTTTTCCACATAGGTGATGCTCATGAACCGAAAGTCCCAAGCGCTGGGCAGGCTGCTGGGTCTTCCTCCAACTGAGGCTCACGATCGACCTTGTTGTGGACGCCTCACTGCATGGACGGGCCTGTCCCTCTAATGAGCACTGAAGTTCCCAGATCCCCAACTCTATCCGGCCACACGTTGGGCACCAGTTGTCCCGTCCTGCAGGACATCAATCTGGGGCAAGAGAGTCAGGGATAGGGAATGGGGACAAGAGACACAGAAAGATTGACCACAAGACAGGATTCTGATCAAGTGGCAAACTTTACTTTTCTCAGGCTAGCTTATATAGTCAGGATATGGGGAGGGGCAGAATGGGTTGTTTGTGCACCAGGTGTTAGTATAGGCAGGATATTAGGAAGCAACAAAGAGGTTTGGCAGGGTACAGAGTTCATGAGTAAGAGGTCCAAGAAGGGGTTGGCTAGGTGACTGAGCCTGTGGGTGGAGGACTGGGTCAAGTTGTTTCTTT